TACTGTTTCTGTATCGTGCCTCAGCTTTAAATTTTCAGAATATAGAGCTCTGACTTGGGCTTCTAGATTTTCACAGTGATATTTTGTCACTTCTATGGCATCATCTTGCAGGTATATTTCTCTTTCTGTTTTCTTTGTTTTTAATAGAATAGAATCCATTTCTTTTTCTAGTTCCTGAAACTTTGCCTGTAAAATATTTCAGTGTCTGCTTAAGAACAGTTTTTTGAGAGGATACTAAGTATCTACTTAAACACTGTAATTTGTATTTATTCAACAGTCTTCTTTTTCACTTGTTTAATGTGGCTTGAATGTAAGATAATTAGAGTTCCATCTCCTAAAATCATCACCTTAGAGGCACAATGCAAGAATACTATCTTAGATTTCTCCCCTCAGACTGAGTCTAAAATATGAAATAAAGTAACCTTTAAATACCTCGTATTTGCAAGATACATAGGATATGACAGATCAAACCCAATCCTCATGTTTATTTAAAGCCAAAATCTGGTTAAGTTCAAATCAGACTAAAAATAACTAATGATGTGAAAAATCACTTAAAAACCCCCACAAACACTTACATAGATGTTAGAGGTGGTGGAGCTTAAGTAGCCTGTTCTACTGACGTTTTTTATCTCACCTTCATCACAGTAGTATTTGAGAGTAGCATTAATCCCAGCTATTTTAACCCCCTAAGAAATTATACGTCTAGTCCTAAAAAGGCCTCTACATCTTTTCAGTGATGAGAAGTGAAAAAATCCAGGAAGTAGTACTTCAAGCCATCATAAGAAGTCTAAGATGGGAGGGCTGAATTGCTGCCTCATGAATGTTTATCCCTCTTTCTTGACTACCAAGGAAGCCTAGATGACTAATATGGGTTTAACGTCTGACTTGTAGGTGATGTAAGCTGGCTATGATGAATCTGACCCAAAGCAAGAGCCAACCGGAGAGCATTAAGTGAGACAATTAGCATTGTGATTTATATCACCTATTATCTTTTCCCTAATGGGAGTGATGCGAGTGCTATGAAATCTCTTACTCAATGTCTTGAACAGATTAAGACATTATTAACTGGTAGAACAAAAAAGTTTCTGTGTAACTTTTAATTTGGAAATCTTGGGCTACAGTTTTAGCAGGATTTGTATCAGTGCCAGCCACCATTTACTGAGGACTGGAAAGCAAAAGATCTTAATGGCAAAGATCTTCAGTTTTGGAAGGAAATTACTGTTTCCCATGTCTGCTGTGACATGAGCACGTGGGAATAGATGCAAAGATGAAAAAACAATTCTGCGTTCTGACCTTAAGTTCCTAATTATTATTATTTTTTCTCTTCTGCTAACATGGAATTCCATAAGTTTGTATGGAATTTCCTGGAGTTTGGAGTTTTTGGAAAGAAAAAGGAAAAGCTGTGGAAGAGGAAGAAAAGAAATGAGCTACCTTAATTACCTAGGGCTCTAAAGTCCTGTGGGATTTTTTAAAACAGAGATGCTTGTTTAAATTCTTTGATCACAAATCAGTTCTTGCAGCATCATCATACTATATTACGAGATGGTATATCATCAGGAGAAAACTTCTTGCGAGGTGTAGCCAGTTAATTGACATTCCTAAGCAATAAGAGTTTTCACTGCTTTTTCAGAGAAGTTATCTTTGTACAAAATTTCAAACATCATTTCAGTTGCAGGACTACTCAGAGATGCTATAAATGGAACACTACTGTTTCTGTTTGCATTCTCCCATGCTCAAAAAATGCCTGAATGCTATTGAGTTTTTCCTCAGACTCAAATGTCTCAATAGAAATTTGATCTCAAAGGTTAAATAATAATTGAAAGCTTCATAAATTTTGTGAGAGATTAGAACAGAAATTGTTACACAGTCTTCACAAGAACTACATGTATCCAGTGTTCTACAAAATGTTACTAAGTAAAACCAGTAGTTAATGACTGTTTAGGATATCCCCTTCAAACACACAGAAAAAAGTATTTTGTATCAAAAAGGTGCTAAGAAAAAATGCCAAGTCTGGTGAAAATCTGCAAAAAGGCAGAATCCTTTTTTTTTTTTTTTTTTTTTTTGATTAGTTTCTCAGAAAATCACCACAAAAAAAGTCAAAGAGCTCTAACTTTGTATTGAGTTTTTGTAGGTTTACTATCTCAGTGGTTTTGGGGCTGTGGTTTATTTTTTCCAAATAAAAAAATAAGAGCTTCTGCTAAAACCTTAGTCTTAGCTGTGATGCAGCCTTACAAATAACAATACACATACACGGTTTTGGCTAAGCCTAAATACCACATACAGGAACAGAACAGCTGCCTTACACTTAAATGCAAACACACAGAAAAAGTTACCATCAGCTTCTCTTGTTCATAGGAACACATCCCTATCTAATGAAAAAAGTAAATGAATTAATCTACTCTAAATAAGGTTTATTACCTGCAACTGGAAAAGAACTGTTTTGCTTTTTTCTATCTCTGACGCTTGTGAATGCTGTTGCTCTGCAACTTGTTTTACAACTTCAATTAGCGACGGAGAATTCTGCTTGGCCATTTTAGAAAGAGTGCTGAACTATAGGGACATAAAAAAGAAGTGAATTGTTTTATCTTCATTCTGTTTAATTCACAACTATTAATGAAGGAGAGCACTATTCATGTCTTTCCTGCAGGATCCCAGATCAATACATTATATCATTTGGTTCATTTTGTTATTAACAAGAACAGGTTACTAATGAAAGGATGCCCCAAGTCAATGATTAAGATTTATAGTTTTTTCTTGCACAATTTTATAAAATAAACTATTGTGATGTTCTTTTGGCTTTTCTGCAGAATAGATCCTCAGTTTGTGAATACAGTCATAGTTCTTAAGAGCATCTTAAATGCATGAGAGCATGCTCTCATATTCAGCCTGAATGTTTACATTATTGCAGTTACCATACTGCAAGTGTCTGCCCTACTATTAAACTATCCTAATATAAAATAAGCTAGAAATTGAGAAAGCACTCAAACTGAAAGTCAGACTGAAAGTCTGTAAAGATGTCCCCAGTGACTAGAAAATATTTAGCAGTATTTTTTTATCACTTTGGATAGAATAAGGTAATTGAGAAAATCTGTGTTGTTATATAAGGTGACTCTCAGGAAAATGAAACAAGTCTGGCACATACAAAGCCCATCTTCAGGCCCAATGCGTTAAATGGTACTCAGAAGAGCCTTGTGCCCTTGTGGCCAAGAAGGCCAATGGTCTCCTGGGGTGCATTACAGAGAGTGGTCAGGTATAGGGAGGTCATCCTCCCCCTCTGTTCTGCTGAGGCCACATCTGGAGTACTGTGTCCAGTTCTGGGCTCCCCAGTTCAAGAAAGGAAGTACTGGAGAGGGCTACAAAAATGATGAAGGGAATGGAGCACCTCTCATATGAGGAAAGGCTGAGGGACCTGGGACTGTTTAGCCTGAAAAAGACTGAAAGGGGATCTCATTGATGCTTATAAATATCTAAAGGGTGGGGTGTCAAGAGGATGGGGCCAGACTCTTTCCAGTGGAGCCCAGAGACAGGGCAAGGGGCAATGGGCACAAACTGGAACACAGGAAATTCTGTCTCGTGGGGTGTCAAGAGGATGGGGCCAGACTCTTTCCAGTGGAGCCCAGAGACAGGGCAAGGGGCAATGGGCACAAACTGGAACACAGGAAATTCTGTCTCAACATGAGGAAAAACTTCTTTACTTTGAGGGTGGCAGAGCACTGGAACAGGCTGCCCAGAGAGCTGGGGGAGTCTCCTTCTCTGGAGACATTCAAAACCCGCCTTGATGCGTTCCTGTCCAACCTGCTGTAGGTGGCCCTGCTTTGGCAGGGGGGTTGGACTAGATGACCTCCAGAGGTCTTTTCCAACCCCTACCATTCTGCACTTCTGTGACCCATGAACTGCGCCTGAAGGTTTTCTAGTCTTGACTAGGAAATCGCATCAACCATTTTATATTTCGGGCTGCTGCAGTGCTTGTCCCGGCACCCCTCACTTCTCCCTACCCGGCTCAAGCACTCCACACCCCCAGGCAGGCCTGCTCTTGCCCAAGCCCTCCAAAGGCACCGAAAGGCGATCAGAGAGGAGCCCAGGCGCCCTGCCGCGGCGAGGCCACCCTCCTCCGGCTGTCTACCCGGACACCGCCGGGTGGGGACGGCGACCAGCGCCGGCCGCCCCTCACGCCGCCACCGTCGCCCCCTTCAGTGAGGAGAGGATGGGGGGGGCTGCAACGGCCGCCCCGATCCCGCCCTTTCCCGCCCAAGCCGCCGCGCGCGCGGCGCCCGCCAAGCCCTAGGGAGCGTCGGCCAAGGGCCGGCCCACTCCAGCGAGGGAAGGCGAGCGGCGGGAGGCGGTGTGAGGGGAGCGCGGCCCTCAGCGGCGGCCGAGGGGCACGGAGAGCCGGGAGAGGGGCGGGGGACCGGGCCGGCCCCGGCAGGAGACGGAGGGAGAACGGAGGGAACGGCTCGCTCTCTCAGAAATGCGTGGGTGCTTGGCGGTGGGGTCCGTAGTGCGGCCTGGCTCGCCCTGTGGCTGAGGCAGTTATACTTCGTGGGTTGGTTTTGTTTGTTTTCACTTCTAAGTTCACCGAGTTGCCTAATTCATTGTATTAAACTGCATTTTCAGTCATAATCTGTTAGTGTTTGATATACGCTGCAGAGAATGCTGAGCACTATTGAGTTATGAGGAAGAAGAAGCATGGCCCAGTTTTGGGTTTTGCTGAGCACCATTGGGTTATGAGGAAGAAGAAGCATGGCCCAGTTTCCCCAGTTTTAAGGATACGGGTTTGTCTCTGAACTCTGGGTCAAGGAATTTTAACCTTAAATCCCACCATTTTTATAATTTAATTGCTCATCTCCACATACCATCTCTTTATTTCATCCCTGAGGTTTTTTTGTTGTTGTTGTTTTGTTTTTTTTTTTCAAATGGCAGAAGCTGACTTCTCCAGTACTTCAGCTGGACACATAACGTCAGTTTTTCATTTTTCAATATTGTTTTGTACCCTCGGTATTTTTCTGACCTTTTCTTTGTCCTGTCTCGGCATTCTGCGCCAAAAATAACCCCAGTGTTTCTTTTTTCTTCCTTAGTCTCGTCGAAAGAAAGAAAATGGTTGTGTTGGTCTCTTTCCATCAAGTCCCGCTGTTAATTTTTAATGTCCTAGTTCGGGGACATTTGACAGTGGGGTGGAAAGCCTCAGAAATAACTGATTCCTGCAGACTTCATGAAAATAGGTGTCTGGGTGGGGAAGGACAGGATACCTACAACATTATCCTCCCTTTGGAGGATTCAGCTCTCATCCCTCTGCCCAGCATTTTCTGGAAGGAAAAAAGGGAGGGGAAATGGTGGGGGACTCCCCAGGGGGTGTTCTGGGTCTGGCAGAAATGCAGGTTTACTGGAGCTGAAGGCGAGGGAGGAACTGGGGACATAGGACAGCAATTCACAGGGAATCTGATTTTATTAATTCCTCTGTTCATGAAAAAAATACTTTTTTTTTTTTTCTTTCCTTGTCCTTCAGTTGTCGTATACTTATCAGTCATGCCTGTTTTTGGCACAGTTGAGAAAACATAGTTGTTATTATTGTATGATTCTTGGACAAAGCCTGATGCAAGTCCCTAATCCCTCCACTTGCCTTTTGACCTTTGCGTTGTCCTGTCAAAACATTCAGAGGTTTTTACAGAGCTCTGTGAAATTCCTGACTGCTCCGAGGAGAAACCGGCATCCTCATGTCGGGCCTGTGGCCCTGAGGACTGGCCTCTTGTAACCTCTCTATCTGGGTCCTTCTGAATATACCTTTTTTTTTTCTTGACTGAGTGCCAAATTCTTCATGGCAACCTGCAGCTACAGCTCGGGGAAGGAAACGCTTTCAGTCTGCACAAGTTTTCCCTGAAGCTGCTTTGTGGTGGTGTTCTGGTTTGCGATGCTGTACGTTTCTGAATCTGTTGGAGGTTGTGCAAAGCCGATGGGTTTTAGCCTCTGTGATTATAGCAGTGGGTGACATGGCAGGGTTAATGCTGCTTCCGGGTTTAATGCTACCCAGGCACTTAATCATGTTGGTGCCTTTCGGTAGGGTTTGTTATTTCCTGGGGATACTGACAGCAACAAAGCAGGGGCTCATCATCAAGAAGAAATACAGGTTCCCACTCCAATGTTACCTAGAATAGGAATTTCCATCTTGTACAAATCAGCTGCAAGACTCGGCAGTGAGAAGTGAGATATATAAAGCTGGTAATGTGTGTTTGTATCAGATGATACCTTTCAAGAGTTTAAAAGGATTGACTACCTGTGTAAGTAAATTTCTGTGTTTATGAACTAAGTTTCTTTATGAAAACTGCGTATACTTCAACATTTTAATTGTAAGTGCTGATTTCTTTTACTTCAACCTTGCATAAATACCCCTAAGCTAGAAGAGGCAGAAGGTTTTATTTTCATCCAATTTAAGAGGTTTTTATGTATTTATTTTTGTTCCCTTTTTTTGTCTTGTCTTGGCTGCTGTTAAAATTTTATTACAAAAGTGCTCTTATGCTTGTTCATTTGGGCTGCTTTAATGACCTTTTTTTTGTTGTTTTTTTTTTTTCTGGACATCTCTGGCAGATGTTAAATATTTATTGCCTTTTTATTTTTCCTAAACAATATCAGTTCTCTATGTTTCTGTAAGAAGACAAGGTGAACAGTAGGATTGAAAGGTGCAGGAAATTGCCAACAGTCTTGTCTTCACGAACAGTGAGCTTTTAGAATTAGATTTCTGGGGTTTTTGAAAGTTGCTTTTTGGATCTTTTTTCTTTCCTAAGCTATCTCTTCTCTGCAACCTGGTTTTATTTCCTTCATTGTTTTCTTTCTTATTCACTTTGCTTTTCCCCTTTTCGTTCTTATTATCCTCCTCACCTCTCCTCTCTTCTCATTATCTATCTTTTTTTTTTAAATTTTCTTTTTCTTGATGTCTGTGCAAGAGAATCTTTTTACCCTCCAAATGTTTGTGCTGACAGAGTTTCAGAGAGTGAGCAAAACAGCTCAGGGGTGGCCTTGGCTTCAAGTTTGTGCAAGTATTTGCCTTGTGTTGTGTACTGAAATGAGCAACTCCTTAATACATGCACTTAATCTTTCCTGATGTGGTTACATGCAGTGAGCATTTCCATGGAACACTGGGACTGTAGAACATGTTGCCTAAAACCTGAATTAACCACAAATGCATTTCTCATAAGCTAAAGCATTGTTGTGTTTGGCAAGCCTGTATTCTGAGAAGGGATTTGTTGGGGGACTTAGAAAGCAGTCAAAAAAATTTATTATGACTGTAGGAAAACTTACTTCTGACACCACTAACCTCAGGAGGAGGTAGGACTCTGTGATGCAAAACTGGAAGGATATAAGGGTGAATCAGCCCTATTGTTTCTTTGTGTACATCCCAATGATTGACCCTGTGGACTTTTTGCAATACACACACAACTTAATAACAGTGTAGGCAATTACCTCTCCCTTTGCAAATACTTTCCTTCCACCCTTTCTTTGGTGGTATTTTTCTGGGGAAGTACGGGGGCAGCAGTGAACTCTACTTACCTTCCACTATTGACCTATCTGAAGTGGAGCAATAATCTGTTTTTCCACTTCACCCCAAAGTTTTTCTGCCTTTGCTGGGGCTATGAGCTATACCTGCATTGGGATCATGTCGTACTCCTAACAGGCCTCCCACAGAGAACGTCAGTGTAGGGAAGGATTTATCCTGATTTCCCAAATCATGCTCTTTGACATGAGTCTGTTTCGACACTGTTTTCTTAGGAAGCTGTTTCCTCTAAAATCTGTTATCAGCTGTGTGTAAATAATACTTTGAACAAAATCAAGAGTCATAAATTCCCTGGCAGATGCTTTTATCCGCTGTCACACTTTGATACTTTTAGTACACCTGTTTTGATAGTCACTAATTAATCTTTGTCAACGTTCAACTTGCAGAAAAGAAAACATCATTTTCACTCAAGGTTATTTTTCTTCCAGTCTGGGGGAAAGAACAATGAAGAAAACAGGGAATGTTTTCTGTAAAACCTACCCTGACTAAACGATCCGTTAAAACCAGAAAGGTCTTTGACCCCTCACTTGAGTGTAGAAACTCTGGGAATCCATTGTCTACTGTAAAAAGCCCAGGAGGAGACCAGGTCCACCATCGTGGTAGACCTCAAGTACACACAGAAGCAGTATTTTTGCAGGATAACGAAGTGCTGTGAAGCCAGAGCACGATTGGAGTTACAGGATAATGAAGGCTTGGGGCAGGAAAATAGTGCTGGGCGTTATCTGATGCGGTTAGTTCTGGTAGCATTGATTTCAAAGACTCAAAAAATTCTCAAGTCCTTTGTTCCTGCAAAGGAATTAATATTCATGTGTGATTTGTTACTGTGAAAAAAAAAAAAAAAAAAAGAAAAAAAATGGTGTTAAAGAGTACTCCAAATGATTATGGGGTATTATAACTGGTGATAAAGCTGCATGTATTCCTTCCAGATCATGCATGGTGCTTAGTGATGAAATCTGAATAGCTGTCTGTTCAAGGTTCCCAAAGCAAAGGGATCTAGTCTTTTGTTCCAGACCTCTGGAGGCTTATACTGGAAACTGAAAAATTTTCAGAGACGGAGAAAATAAGACTTTTCTGTGAGGTTATGTAAAATAGGCTCTCCTAGCAAGGGAGAGAGAGGAAGAGACGGATGAAGAAGCTTCCACAGGCAGGCAGCCTAATTGAGCTTGCATCAACAAAGTCCAGAAAGGGACAAAACAACCCCACCAAAACTGGATTTACACCATGGGCCAGAGGACAACCTGTGAACTACAGGATCATTTTGGCTAATGAGCGTGTTAAAGAGTACTCCAAATGATTATGGGGTATTATAACTGGTGATAAAGCTGCATGTATTCCTTCCAGATCATGCATGGTGCTTAGTGATGAAATCTGAATAGCTGTCTGTTCAAGGTTCCCAAAGCAAAGGGATCTAGTCTTTTGTTCCAGACCTCTGGAGGCTTATACTGGAAACTGAAAAATTTTCAGAGACGGAGAAAATAAGACTTTTCTGTGAGGTTATGTAAAATAGGCTCTCCTAGCAAGGGAGAGAGAGGAAGAGACGGATGAAGAAGCTTCCACAGGCAGGCAGCCTAATTGAGCTTGCATCAACAAAGTCCAGAAAGGGACAAAACAACCCCACCAAAACTGGATTTACACCATGGGCCAGAGGACAACCTGTGAACTACAGGATCATTTTGGGATCATCGCCTTGATTTCAGAGCAAAGAGTGCAGCTACCAGAGTGAAAAAATCGGAGTAGGGAATTTTTGCACAGTATGACATTGTTTTCATTTAGTTGTGTGTACTTCTTGCGTTACTAGGTAAATTTTCAGTAACTTGTGCTGAGTTCCTGTGCCTGTTGAAAAGAGGAACTGTCCCTCCACATAGAAGACAGAAACTACAAGTCAATACTTTTGGTAACGCAAAAGGGAGAAGTGCAAAAGGTCTTGTGGAAGCCTGTGGGAAAGATGTCGCTGAGCTCACAGCCCAGCACCCGTGGAGGCTGCCAGGAGGGATAGCAGACGTGAGCTCCATCTCACCCAGAAGTGTGTAAAATGCCTCCAAAATAATTGTTATAGAAACCTCCCCAGTCCCAGCAAGCTGAGGGACCTCTGTATTTGGTTTGCCCTCACGGGAGCTTGGAGGAAGGCCCAACAGTGAGACATCAAAAAGAGCCATTAAGCTAATGTGGGTTAATTGATTCAATAAATCTAATGCTATGTAGTAACCTTTTATCATCCCTGACCTGGAAAAAACCCGAGGTAGGCGGGGTGGTAGGGAAATGCCTAAATACTTAAATAAAACCGTGGTAATTCCCATTTCCGCTACTTTTCTTTTGCCGCAATTTCTTTTGATGCAGTGAGGAAATCCCAAGACAGTAATTACTGCTCTGCCACCTCTTCACAGTATTACTGAATGCGTTGCCTTAATGGCATAATTCTGTTTGGGCTAATGATGCTGTCTTGCCTTTTTGTTTTTCATGATTGGTTACTGACTACTTGGCAGCTGTAGGAGTCTGTAAGTATCCTGGAGTATGGTGGAAGCAGTGCTGATAGATCTGTTCAGCCTACCAGCCAGCCTGCAGAGCAACATCCAAGGATTACTCCGTAACACACTGGAAACTATTGAGAAATGCTCTTCCCTCTCTGCTCCATTTGTTTATGTCATGTGTTGCCAGAGGCAGGGGAGTGAAAGGAACAGTGAAGAGGAGTCCTTGCTTCCAGCTCTGAGAGATTTCCAGAGTCTGAAGACAAGACTGGAGGTGGTACGTTCTCTGACTACAGCTGCTGCTTTGTACACCATCAAACAAAGACTGGATGAAAAAGACCTAAGCATCATTAAAGTCATTCTCCCTGCCTTAAGAAAAGACTTAATGAAAGTATATATAGACCATCTCTTTACGGCAGTCTACCAGTTTGAATTTGAGGATTTACAGGTGCCATGGGATTGTGAAAACCTGCAGAAAGCTGAACCTCAGAGTGAGGGGCAAGTGCTTCCTGTGCAGGATGTGGCGCTCATCCAAAGTGAGATTCAGACATACTTGGAAAGCCTGCCGAGCCTGAAAGGGGGACTAACCATCCTCAGATCTTCCTTGATCCCAGGTAAAGGGAATCCCAGCTAATAGATCTGTTCCCAGGCATACTGCTTGCAAAATGGGTAAGATTTGGATGTGTCTTCAGGCAGTGAATAACTCTCTATGATGTTGTAATAGTGTATGAAACTCAAGGGAATTGCAAAATGGGTAAGATTTGGATGTGTCTTCAGGCAGTGAATAACTCTCTATGATGTTGTAATAGTGTATGAAACAATCCAGAACCTGAAAGGAACATGAGTTACCTAAAGCCATCTTTGTCTGTGTTGTGCTTCAAAATTTTGACTGTGGCTTTGAAAGTATCACACTACATAAAAGAGATTTTGAATCCCAACTCTGATTATGTCACTAGGCTGGTCAGCTGTTAAGACAGCAAAAATACCAGTTGTGAGCCTATCTTTCTGTGTTCAACTTGGCCATGCAGACCCCCTTCCCTCCATTGCCCCCAAAAGCAGTGATTGCATTTGGTGTGTGAGGCCACAATAAATGATCCGCATGGTGAAAACAGAGGATTTTTCAATAACTCTAGAAATTTTTGGTGCCTTCAGTGTACTTTAGAAAGATGTTTGATATTCTGTGTAGTCTTGAGGACTAGCACTTTGTTTGCCAAAAGAGCTTGGGAGGTGCCACCTTGGAACATTTGTTTAAAAATCTGCTCTCATTTTCCTCAGTGAGTTACCTCTCCTCTAGGGTTTGCAATAAAACTCTGCAAGTCAGGCTAAATATGCCAGGAACTCCATCTTGCTCAAACCCCTCTACCTCGGCCTCAGAGGATTATGATTATGAGCAAGAAGGAAACTTAGAATCCTTAAATTTAAATGCCACAGCTAAATGCGAGGTAAAGCAATACTCACTCTGATTGGCTCATTCCAGGTCTCTTCAGTATAAAACCATGTAATATCTGGACTGGTCTTGTGTTGAAAGCAATTGTTTTTTTTACCTTTCCAGATGATATCTTCCTACATGGGTTCAGCACAAGGACAGGTGGGATCTCCTACATACCAACTCTAAGCTCCTGCAATCTCTTCAGCAGTTCCAAGCGGAGGGACCCACAAGTCGTTGTTAAGGAAAATCTCCGCCGGCTGGCTAATGCTGCAGGATTTAACCCAGAGACTTTTCACAGAGTCAAGGTATCTTATCAAACAATGGACTTATGTAAAGGAGTCAGATCATAGAATCATAGATTGGTTTGGATTGGAAGGGACCTTAAAGATCATCTAGTTTCAACCCCCTGCTGTGGGCTGGGACACCACCCACTAGAGCAGGTTGCTCAAAGCCCCATGCTGCCTGGGGTGGAAGAAAAGATCTTCCTTCATGTATCGCTGGCTAAAACTGTAGGCATTATTCTTATCTTTCTCAGCAAGAATTTCTGAGAAGCAGGATAATTAAAACATTTATGCTGGCAGTTTATCTGTGGGAAAAGCCATCCAAACTGTGAGCCATTTGGCACTATATGGAGAAGCAGCACTGTTTCTTCCAAGTATATTCTAACATTTAACTTAGCACAGAGCAAAATAAGTAGATAATCAATCAGAGCAGTTTCTCTTAAAAGAAAAATATACCATCACTTCCGTGGTGGCTTTCTACTGATACATTTGCGTGGCACTTGAACAAGGGAGTGCCTGATTTCCACACGTAATTGGTTCGTGCCAAAGAAAAATCCTTCTATTAGTCAGAACTGGGGTTTTTTTGCTGCCATAAACATGTCCATGTTCTGGTTTTGTCTTGACAGACTGATCACGCTAATGCTGTGTATATTATGGGAAAGACAGAGCCTGACAGCTACGATGGAATAGTTACAAATCAGAAAGGTGTTACGATAGCAGCTCCGGGCGCTGATTGCATACCCGTGCTGTTTGCTGATCCTGTCAGAAAAGCCTGCGGTGCTGCTCATTCTGGTAGGAATTTTGAATCACAGAGATTGAAATAAGTAGGAGACTACTGGAAAGGGAGTTTTTGACAAAGGAGTGTAAATTAGCAACCAAAGAAATGCTGAGTGAGAATGAATAAATGCAAGATCGCATAACAATTTAGTTAAGTTTGTTAAGCGTAGTTTAGGTAAGTTTGACCTGTTAAATTTGTATCCTGCCAAAATAAGATTAGCCTTCAAACTGTTCAAACAAGAGTAGTTTGTTTCCCAAGCTATGTATTTTATTTTATAACTGTAATAATTAATTGTTTATCTAGCTATACATTTAATTTTCCGATCTGTAGCCAAAACCAAATTTTTTTTGTGCCCTTTCTAAGTTTCTATGTAAAAAATGTCTATAAAGGCAACGCCCCCAACAGTCATTTTGAATCAGAAGAAACATTTCTCTGACCCAAAACAAATAATAAAACTGAAGCAGGGATGGTTAGCACGACCTACAGTTATGTCTGACTTCAGAAAATGTCCCAACTGTTAGGCTAAAATACATATCCCGTAGTGAGATTTTCCTGCTGGGCCTGTTTGATTTTATAAAAAAGTCTGCCTTTATGAGGTCAAGGAGAATGCACAGCTGAGAGTTTCTCCTCAACTTTGATGCTCGTACACTTCTTGATACGGTAGGATGCTTCACCTCTGCCTAGAACTTGTGAATACTACCTAATTCATACAAGTCTTCATACATTCAATAAGTTAGCCAAAATAAATTCAATTTGTGAGTCATCATGAGAAAATAAAAACTTTGACTTTCCTTCAGTAAGGAGTGTGTGTGGGTGTCCATGTCCTGCTCCGTGCCTAGCAAGCTTAGGTTAGAGAAAGTGAGAGGAATGAGAATTGTGCCATGTCTGTCTGGGAGAAGAAGGGAATGTTGTGGGTTTTAATGGGGAGAAGGGATGGAGAGAATTTTGTCTACTCTTGAAAGTTTTAAGAGTTTTACATTGTAAGTGTTCAAACCCAATTATTGTAAAATATTTAAATCTGTAGTTGCTCCTTTCTCTGCTCCCTCTTCATTTATGTAGTCCCTGACATACCACGCTGTTCCCCAACCTACACTGCTGCCTTCTCCCAGGATACCTCTCAGCTCTAGCCTGAACTCTTACCTTCCATCTCCCAAGCTTTGGCCTTCATTCCCACATCACAGTCCTTACCAGACTTACAGTTATCTTGTCCTAAGTCCTTTCCTTCCTGTTCAACCCCACCTCAGTTCATGTTTAACTTGAACACGTGTTACTATGTGTGCAAAGGTATAAGGTCATCTCAGTCGTTGTATGTAGAAAAACAGAGGAAAAATTATTAGCATATCCCATCCTTCGTTATACCACGCTCCCTGTGCAATGCAAAGACTTCCTGGGACTCAAACTGAGATATGAGAACTCAAAGCTGGGCTTTCTCTTATCTATTCAAACAATGTCTCTAGCTTGAGCCTTTTTTTCTTTCCAAAAATAACATGAAAACCATTTTCACCATATTATAATAAAATACACTTCTGACCATAACATATTTCTGTTGTCATACAACCATTTAAATGTTTCAAGCACAGAGAAGCTGTAAGGTATGCTCTAGTTGCCCAAACCAGGACAGTGGGAAAAAGGAATTCTGCAATACAAATCTAAATTCTTCTCTCAGGTTTTCATCTCCACAAAAGAACTCATAATTGTTAATGTGTTGCATTTTTTTTTTAAAATAATTATTTTTTATTAGATATAATTATTTATTTTTAGATGTAAATATATCTACTAATCTGTATCTTTAATAATAGCATATATTTTAGTTACTGTAAAATTAAAGACACAATTTATACAATTTTTTTTTTCAACCCCTCATTTCTCGCAGGATGGAAAGGCACATTGTTAGGAGTTTCTATGGCCACGGTAAATGCCATGGTATCTGAATACGGCTGTAACGTGAAAGATATCCGTGTGGTGCTGGGCCCATCTGTAGGACCTTGCTGCTACAACCTTCCTCACGAATCAGCAAAAGAATTTCACAGAATTGATCCAAAGTGTGTGAGACAATTTGACTCTGCGTGTCCTTATATTGATATTAGAAGAGCAACACGGTAAGCCTCCCGATCGAACAAGGCTAACTCCACATTAGTTACCAATAATTATTTTGATATTGTATTATCCAGCACTATTACGGTGAGGGTCCTCACCATCTTTAAGTACTCTATAATACTTTGCAGGGAAAAAAATGATGCCATTGGATGAATGGTATCTGCTCAGTTTTGCTGGGTTTCAACTATTTTTTTACTGCTACACTGGTAGTTTATGGATTATAGACAGATGTTCAAATTAAATTTGGTTTTACTGGTTGCAGTAAAGCACTGATTTTAGTCTAATACTGGGAGAAAGAAAAAAGAAAAGTAAATTAAAGTCCCAATCACAATGCTGGCACAGTTTGTTCAACTGGTACTTGAGGTGCTGTCTGAATGATAGTATCTTAAGGAATGAGAGGATGTACAAAGAATACTATTTTCTCTTTCCATTTTTTTTCTTTAAGGATTCTTCTTGAGAGTGGTGGGATTCTTCCTGAGAACATCCAAGATGATTCCATCACAGACCAAAGCCAAAATACCACTTTGTGTACTGCCTGCCACCCTGATAAATTTTACTCTCACTTTCGTGATGGCCCTAACTTCGGGACACAGATTGGCTTTATATCAATAAAAGACTGAGATGATAGTATTTCTCACTCCCAAATAGTATTCAGACAATAAGTCTGGTGCACTGGCTGGCATCCTGCTCTCCTTGTAGAAGTTCTTCTTCCTTTCACAGACCTGCAATAGGGAATTCATGGGTCTTGCAATTCTCCTGCTTCTTCTTTTCCCTGTCATTCTGAGCCAAGAAGAAACATCTAGGGTGTGGGGCCAATAATTCTTGTGTGACTTGGTGTGCAAAGGAAACAAGGACAACCCACAACGATGACAAAGCCCTTCTGCTAGTCCAGGTGCAAGCTCCAATTTTTTTTTTTTGAGCCTTCCTGACCACATATTTCCCAGAAATTTCACTGTTGTAAGGTCTGAAAGCACAAAAAAACCAGTCTTCGTTAGCTTCTGGGTGACACTTTTGAATGAAGTTAAGTATGACATTTCTGGTATAGGAAGGGAAGCCTGTGTTGCACATTAACTGTTTGAGAACGACTTCAGTAGTTTCAGCTGAAGGTTAACCTTATGGAATTATGTGCCTGGGGTTGTTTTTCTTCTTTGGATTAATTTAAAGAATAGCTCCAAAACACGTACCTGACTTTTCCTGTGGAAAATAACTTAAAATTGAGAAGTCTCTGTTGGGGTGGACATTGAAAATATATGAACTCTCACCATTTTGTATTTTTTGACTGTAGAAAAAGTAGGACTAAAACTACTAATATGATATGACATGTCTGTTCATGTTTCCTTAGGATTTTTTTTCTTTAAACTATTGGTGCTCTGCTAATGTACGTTGAGACGGTCTCAACAGTGCCAGTTATTAAATAAATATCTAAAAAGAGTGAATTTAGCCTCAGCTAATTTTACTGACCAATAACTTACTTATATGTCTCACTAAGCAAATTCTCAGTGTGCATTAGTTTCTTTTGGCCATAAAAAAATTTACCTGAAGCCATTACAGTAGACGTGATAGTTCCTGACACATAGACAGCGAGAGCCTCCTAGTAGTAAAACGATGCTGACGAGCTTGCAGAGTTGCCAAGCACAAGCCGTGGGACAACGGCCCCCGTGACGTAGTTTATATTTTGATTTCAACGGTCTTTTCCAACTCCAGAGTTTTATGCCCACTAGAGGTCAGTGCTCGCTCACTCTGCACTTCCTATACGGGTTTTCAAATCATGCATTTTGCAAAGCACTGCATGGCATATGCTGCTACTTTTGCCTATATAATCATCTGCCAAGTTTTTCTAGTGTCTGTGCTTGAAGAGTAATCTATTTTTCATTTTCTTGGGCTGTCGTTCAGAGCTGACCAAATTAGAACTTTCCTTGTCCTCTGGGAGAACAGACGTTTTTAAAAAAATCTTTCTTTTACATGTGAATGGTAACTCTCAGAGAAGAGCCTGTTTCTGTTACCCTCTGACTGTAACCATCTACCAAACAAATACTTCTTCCAACTCTACTTCTTCTTTAGAAATATTATTCCTCTTTGGCTGTAGCACTGCAGTCCTTGACAATAAAAATTCTGACATTTTCAGTTACCTTTTAAAAACCTCACTGTCCTTTTCGTCACTCTCGGTTTGTTCTGCACCTTCACTGTGGTGATGTTCACAATTTCCTTCACACTGGAGGTTCAGGTGCCCAGAGGGGCAACGCTCACACTCCTCAATTCAGTTCTGCCAAGGGTGTTACTGCATGCTAGCTGATGGTGTGTAGGGTATGTATATGTATTACATGCATGTGTATTATTGACTTATTTTAAATACAAGATAATATGGACACTGACAAGCTTATCTTGCTGCATTAGATACCCACCAACCTTCACCTTTAAGTTCTGTCCCTTTGCCCTGGTATCTAAGAGCGAGCTACTCTGTGGGCACTGATCGACGTAGCAGCGGAGAGAGTAAGGTGTCTTCTGCTCTGGGGGCAGTAGCACCACGTCAGTCCCTGCACCTGAGGTTCAGCCAAAGCTTTGTCAGCGCCCTTCCCTTAACCCTCTTCCCTCGGGGATTAAGCACATGCGGTCAAAACCAGCTGAGTTACTGGGTTTTGCAAGGTACTGCATGACAGCTGGAGCATCGTAGGTGCGCCTGGGCCTGCTGTTTAGCCCATCTCACCTCAGAGATGGTTTTAAATTAATGCGTTTAACTTTGCAGTAAGTAGAAAGGCCTTGGAGCCGTGCTGCTTAACCACAGTTCAAATGCTCAACAGTTTATTAAGTCACAGTAACGTGATACCGATGGAAAGCCCTGGCTTGTTCATGCCTGCTCAAGAATGACAGCATAGGCTTTCTGTTTAGAAAAATACCCTTTAGAGGTCATGGTAGGACTGTGCAAGCTGGAGAGCATGTTGGAATGAGCAGAAACACCAAAAGCTTTACCTTTATAGAAGACAAATCATTACCACAGGCGTTGTTCATTATTTATTTTACACTGAATTACCAAGACTGTAAACCTGTCAAGACAGGAAGCAGCCTTTTGTACATGGATTGCAGAAGTGGAAAACTCCACAACCAATAAAAAAATAATAATAGTGTTCAGTCGGGTTAGGCTCTGTAGCATACAGAATTTCTTTCAAAAGTCCTTGCTACAATGGTATTTTAATTCTGGTACTAAAACAAATAAAAAAGAAGTTTTTGAGAGAAAGGGCATGACAAAAAGCAGGCAAGGCTGTTTCACTTCTCTATTTATTTACTTTTCATTCCTGTTGCTCACTAAAGGAGCCAAGCAGATCAGCCCTGATTCACCACCTCTAGGGAAGCTCTTAAAATGCTTCATAAATTGTTCAGCTGTACCTACCTAATCATCAGATCCCATTTATTAACCTTGCTCGTGAATTTATAAGCTGCATTCACCCTATTATTGTTATTAAATGATATTCTTAATTGTGATTGTGGTATGCCCTGAGGCGAGCACAAGAAATGATCACAATGAATATTGTTTTTGATAGCTATTACTGTGCAATTAACATTTGTTGCCGTTGTAGATGCTGAATACGGCCCTTGTCATTTACATTTCTATATTGGAATGGGGTGTACCAAAACATGTCTGAGAAAGACTTTATTCACTATTCCAGTAAATCAGGGCAGCTCCAATGCAGACTTCTGGTTCCAGTCCCTGGGGAAGCAGTGTGCAACTTCAGAGGCACAGATCAAAGCCTGAGATAATTAGGGAAATGTTTACCCAAACTGGGATTTATTGCCACAGATAAGGCAAAGGTGAAAAATATTAAGGGGATTAGATTAAAAATGTCTTTAATTAATTTATAGAGGATAGGCCCATCAGTGACTGCTAGTCTCTCTTTCTACTGGCAACCCGAGGAGACAGGATGGGGACTAGACAGTTCCTTGGTCTGAGTTTGGCATTTGATGGCTGTATTGGTGAGTGGCAGCAAACTGGGAATCCATGGGACTGGACCTTCAGCAAAACACTTGGGCACATCTCGACTCACAGAAAGCATGTAATTCCTCCCAAATGACAAGCATTCAGTTACAGGGAGGTGTCTCCTTTCCCCAGCAGTGAGACAGTTTGCCTTTGCCTCCCGTCTTATTTTCCTCATGCTTATCCCTTGTACGTTCCTGTCTTTCTGTCCAGCACCACTCACCATCACCCTACAAGGCTTGTGAATCCAGTTGCAGGGTGTTGGAGGAAACAGATGCCATTCTGTGCAGGGCAGTGCCAGCCTTGCTTTCTTTTGTATGCATGTGCCTTTTTTTTTTCCTTTCAGCAGCGGTATGAAACTTTTTGTCCCCAGCACAGGATCTCCAGCAGTGCCCTCCTCCACTGCCATTTTACAGCTTTCTGCAAGAGCTCCCAACTGCCAGCCTACAGGGTAAAGAAGTCGATATTCCTGGATTCCCTCACTGCTGTCCTCATTTCCACTCCATGCCCAATTTGCTGCTGGGTGATGCAAAGAGGGAGCCGAGCTGCGCTCATTTGTCCCGAGGCGCAGGGGGGGTGTGTGTGCATGTGTGTGTGTGTGTGCACGCTCGCCTTGATGTCATGTGTGCGAGGCTTTTGTTCTCTGAGTACCAAAGTCCTCCCCCATCTCCAGCCTCTCGTGCACCAGCACAACAGGACAGTGCGCTGACGGGAGCGGTAAATCCTATACGTGAGGGAGGAAATAATGTATTGACCCGCTGCAGGGATTTACGTACCTCCGACAGCAGGCTCAGCCCGTGAGGCTGACTTGTGCCACTTTCCCTTTCCAGCAGATACTCTCCAGCATTTCCAGATGAATGATTCAGGTAGAAATGTGCATGGATTTACAAACAGTCCTAATCCGGCATAGTCTTATATCCAGGATGTTACTAATGGTTATCTAGTGTTGCACCTTTTTATAAGACTAAAAGATTGCGCTGCTCTGCTTGCTTTAAATACACAGTGCCTGTGGCTGTGCTGCTGAAAAGCCTGATTATGTATTTCCCAAAGGCCTGCAGAGAAATCGGAAGCTAGTTTTTTAAAGTGATCCCTCTGATCTTTCATTAGTAAGCGTTTAATTTACAGTAGCGTCTCGCATTACAAATACTCGGCTGGCTCTCTTTGTCTGCCAGCTCCCGGGGGTCAAAGGAGGCCCACGGAAGAATTTCGGGAGCGCGGTCCCCAGAGGACAGCGGGGCTGAGGTTTCTCTCTTCCCCTTCTGCCAATGGGGCATAGTGTCTCCAGGGCAACCTGAATTCTGACAGTCATGGGAGCAAGGGCACGGCATGGATTTCCATTTGATTCCTGCAACAGAAAAGAGATCTGAGACAAAAATCGATATGTGACTAAACTACGAGAGTTCATTTTCACGATTACTGTTATCTAACGGAGCATTTCCTCTCTTCTTGTACAAATTTATTTCAAAGCTACTAACTACTCTATCTGTTTTTCTGGTGTTGTCTCTTCTACACGTTGCAAAGGCCTAAACATCAGGAATAAATAGGGTGCAACATAAAAATTTGGGGTCTACCTACCATGAAACTAAACAAGCATTTTATAAGAGAAGCTGAAAGCAATGTTTGCATTTCAAGATGTATAATTTCACTTTTTCTCATGTGATGC